CGGCACAGAACCCCCTTGTACTCGCGCCTGCCTGGCCGCTTCCGCCGCCGCAGCTCCTGGCCCCGCCCCGCGCCGCGCCCAGGCTGGGATACCGCGGATAGCGGGAAACAGAAAGACCCGAGCTGAAAACTTTAGAGCAGTTTAGTTTCGTTTCCAGAAGCATCAGTTAGTCCCAGAACAGTGCAAATGCGCCCTACCACCGGTAGGAGAGAGGAAGCTGTAGAGTGTGAGAGCAAAGGCACCGCAGTCCCCTGGCAGCTTGGTCAGGCTCTTCCTGGGCCAGCTCTGCTTCCCAGGCCCTGGACAGGGAAACGGTCTGGGAACCCGGGTTAGGAGCCTCCTGGAATCAACTAGAATCAAAATCCAAATGAGCAACGGCATACCAATGCTACGATTTTTAAATCTCATTTACCGAGGATAACTGCTTTTGGGGAGAGCCCAAGAAGTCGGGATTCTGTTGCCTCTACACCCTTCCCTATGCCTGCTCAACCTCCACCTACTTTCAAATTCACTTCTTGGGTAACTAGACTTTTCCCTTTCCCTGATCATCGCTGCTTTTCCTTACTTCCCTACACAGGCTTTTTTTTTTTTTTGTAAGGAGGAATATTTCAGTGGCAAAGGCAGGCTTTGGTTTGAGGTATTTTTCTTTTCCTCTCTGGTAAACGCTCAGAGCCAAAATATCCCTGTGTGCTGCAGTTCTGAGGTGGCCTCGGAGAAGTTGTGACAGGAAATTGAAAATGGTTGTTGGGAGGGGAGGAGAGGACCAGAATTGCAGAAGTGTCTTTTGGGGCAAAGGGCTCCCCTCAGTATTCGTGAGGAATCAGAGAGGGGAGCATATGAACGATGGGGGTGGGAGAATATGCTGGGTATGGCAGAAGGTATTGAGGAGTCCCCATTTCTGCAGTAACACTCTCCCCCAGATAGACCACAGCTGTGACAGTTTGGCCTTCTGCTTTGGAGTACAGGGATAAGAAGCAGAGATTTCTTGGCAAGGAGACTCTGTCTGAGGATGTGGGCGAGAAGAGCCCTTATGGGTACTGCCTGTCTTGATTCTGGGAGCTGTTGGCCTCCTGGAGGCCAGTCCCTCCTTTCTCCTCTTGCATTGGGATACTCTGTCATCTCCCAAGAGACCACCGTAGCAGCCTCTGCTGACACTGGGTTGTCCCTTCTGTGCCTGCTAGAAGTCACTTCCCTAGCTTTGCTCAAATCGCTTATGTCTTCCTCCACAACACTCTCTCACCTCCTGTACCCTGGGGCTCACACCCCATCGAGCCAGGCCAGGGTCTCACAGCTCTACAGGGAGCCTTGCCACAGACCACAGTATTTGTCAGAATCCAGCATAAGGAGGGTAAAGTGACAGATACTAAGAAAATACTGTATGCCATATATCAAGCCTCTCCCCCATGCCATTCCTAAGGGCAGAATATTAGTGTGTAGAGGCCTGGCTCAGAGAAAGATTTGGCTAAAGTACCTGCATTTTCAGGGAAAGAAATCAGATCTCATGATGAACCAATGGCATCCCAAATTGAGTATTAACAGCAAACGAAGGACCACAGCTTCCCTGGTTTCCAATGACTAAAACCTCACGGACCCTCCTTTTCCTCCATCATCTAACCCAGTGAGGCCCCAGGGCCTACTGGCTCCCTCCATTTCCATAGATGCCTCCATCCCTATAGGTATCCCCAGTGTGGCCCCAGAGCTTCTGGGTGGGTCTCCCTGCCTCCCAGTCTCCTTGCTTCAATCAGACCACATGTTGCCAAAATCGTTCCTTGAACTATTGGACCCCTTCACTTCATTTCTTTACCCTCGAGCTTACCCGAGTCCTCTGTTGCTTACAGGGTCAAATGCTGACTCCTCAGGCAGAGGTCCCTTGAGGCCCTCAGGGGTACTGGCACCAACTTACTGATTTAACTCCACCCCTCCCTACTCCTGGACCAGCCCCAGGGCAAGAGGTCTCCTTACCCTTCTCAGAACAGGCCTTGTTCATTCCTATCTACATTCCGCTCTAAGGTTCCAAGATTCCATGAGTCACACTGCTCCTTAAGCCTGGACTCTTTCCCCACCTGCTCTTCACCAATCCAAATTCAATATGGTTGCTAAGACCTCACTCACCTGGCCTCCCAGGAAGTTTCCACACTTGTGATCCACTGAACCTCAAGAAATTACTTCTGTCCCGATGTATATGCAGTGGTATGTAAACCTCCCTTAGATTGCTCTGCTGGGGTTTTGAGCTTGGATGTCTTCTGCCAGTTAAACTCTCAGACCCGACTGCCTGGGCCAGGACCAGGCTTGGATGAACTCTGGGTTGGTGATCTGGACCACTGAGTTCTGACCACGCCCTGTGCAAGTCACTTTAATTGTCCTCCTTCAGTAAATACTTATTCTTCACCCACTGTGTGCCCTGCACTGTTCTAGGTGCTGGGGACTGACTCGGAAGAATTGTTGATGACAACAGATAATTCTCATGGATCTAACATTCTAGTAGGAAGAGACTGTGATATTGTGATTTATAATAAAAAATATATATTTAGTCTCCATCCCCATTTCTGGCATAGAGCTCCTAAACCCTTGGAATCCTAAGTGATGAGTGCTAAAGTTGTCCTGATATTCATAACAAACCCTTCTAAACACACCTGAGTTTATGAGGTGACTTTTAGAAAGCACTTTAGATGGGGGCTGGTTGCCAGGGGAACCAACCATGTAATTAGAAAGTTGGAACTTTCAGCCCAACTCTGTTGACCTCCAGGGAGGAGAGAGGAGCTGGAGGTCAAATCAATTGCCAATGGCCAATGTTTTAATGTGTCTGTGTAATGAAGCCTCCATAAAAACCCAAAAGGATGGCGTTTGGAGAGTTTCCAGGTTGTGAACAACAGAGATTCAGAGAGAGTGGCGCTCCCAGACAGGGTATGGAACCTCCATGCCCTTCCCCCATATTTGCCCTATGCATCTCTTCCATCTGACTGTTCCTGACTTATACCGTTTTATAATAAACTGGTAATCTGGTAAGTATAATGTTTCTCTGAGTTCTGTGAGCTGCTCTAACAAATTAATTAAACCCAAGGAGAGGGTTGTTGGGGAACATCTGATGTATAGCCAGCTGGTCAGAAGCACAGGTGATAACCTGAACTTGTGATTAGCATCTGAAGTGTGTGTGTATGTGGGAGGCAGTCTTGCAGGACTGAGCCCTTAACCTGTGAGATCTGACACAGTCTCCAGAGAGTGTCAGAATTGGGTTGAATTATAGGACACACAGCTGGTGTCAAAGAATTGCTTGGTAGTATGAGGGGGGGAACCTCACAGACACACATTGGAATCAGCATCCCTTAACATTGGCAGCAACTAAACAAGACACTTCCAGAACACCTCTAAGTCCCTGCTCTCTGTGTTCTCTGAAGGTATTCCAACAAGAAGGACATAGGAAATGGAGGGGCACAGGGAACCCAGCAGGGAGGGGTGTGTCTGGGCTGCTGTAGCTAGGGCTTTCCGAGGGGGCCTCCTGAGGCAACCCTCAGCAAAGGTGAAGGAAACAAGCTGCAGAGATGTCTTGGGGAAGAACAAGCAAGTGTAGAAGAACGTGGGGTTCCAGGCCCAGGGAGATGGCCCAGCTGTCTTGAGCCGAGTGGGCAAGCAGAGATGTAGCCCAGAGTGGGCTCATGTAGGGCCTGAAGAATCACAGTAAGGATTTTGGCTTTTAGCTGAATGAGAAGGGAAGCCTTGGAGGGCTTTGAGCACAGGAGTCAAGTGACTGAACTTAGGTTCTCAACGATAATCAGTTGCTGTGTGAATAGAATGCAGAGGAGCTGGGTCAGTAAGAAGGAGATAGTAAGAGGCCATTGTAATAATCCTGGAGAGAAAGATTAGTGGTTCCTATGGGAGTGGTCATGGTGCAGGGTGGGACGTGGCCTTATTAAAGCAGACATGATATGCCATTGAACTGGGTGTGGGGTATGAAAGAGGGAACAAAGTTGAGAAGGGCCCAAGCAATGGATAACGAGTTACTGAGGCCTGAAGACAATGGGAGGGTCAGGCCTGGGGTGGTCTGGCAGGGGTGCACACAGCCAAGGTCAGCTGGGAGGCCCAGCCAGAGATGTCAGTTGGGAGTCAAAGAATGAGTCTGGGTGGAGGAGAATGTGACCAGGAGTGGGAGGGAGGCAGAGGGGCCAGCGTGCAGGGCCAGGCCTGCCTTTGGATGGGATAGGCCTCTGGATTTGCTCCCAGTGCAACAGGAAGCTGTGGACTGCCCTCAGCAGAGGCATGAGGTGAGAGGATCTTATTTTCCCTTTTAAAAGGTGGAAGATAGATTTGGAGCCCAGTGGGAGCAGGCAAGGCAATGAAGGAAAAGGTGGCTTAGGCTCTAGGAAGTGGATAGACAGAGATGACTCCAGGTAGAGTCAACATGATAGGCCAACAGGTTGGATATTTAGATGAGGAAAAGAAGTGAATCAAGAATAAAACTCAAGAGTTTGGTTAATGACTTGGGGATGAAGGATTGTAGAATATTCCAGCTCCCAAATATGCCACTTTGGCATGTTGATTATTTTAAATTAAAGTGACTTGAGGCTCTGGGTGACTCAGTCAGTTAAGTGTCTGTCTTAGGCTCAGGTCATGATCTCAGGATCCTGGG